AGGCTCTCTGCCTAGACCCCACCAATTAAAATTCCTTGACGGGTGGGGTCTGCAACCTGCCCCTTCTGCTGGACCGAGTGGGGCGGGCTGAGATGATATTATGAAAACATTAGTGTTTCTGTATTCTGCATTTCATAGCTTGTGTTCTGATTGGCTTGATTCATACAATGCACTGTGCCACAGTTTGTTTAACCATGATTTGTCGACCAAGCCAAAATTGGCTGTATTTCATTCATCAGAAATGAAACAAGCCAACACAGCTTAGTGTGGTAACAGAACCTAGCCATTGGATGAAACAAAAACTTCCAAAAAAGCATGTCACACTGGGAATTCTGGAGAGAACTAGAATTACAGATTTGGGGAACTGCACATTGCTAAGAGTCACTTTGACTGAAGCAGCCAATACGTCCTGTAAATAAATAAAATAAATATAGTAACTGATCCTCTTGACTCACCCTTTCAACTTCTCTCCATTCTTTGTGAGAAATTTGTTCTGTTGAAGTTGATGGTGACTCTACTGAACTTCTTTAAGAATTGCCCACTTGTTGGTCACTCTTTCCAAATTGGTCTAGTAGCAGGATTTGAAAAGCCCCTGAGAGCTAAATTAACTGAGGATTCTTCCCCTCTAATCAATTATTTGACTAAAATTGTTCCATTTAGGGTATGTAGAAGATTGTCACATCTAGAACATGTGTTATCCTAATTGATACATGCTTGATTAAAGTTGCACAATTTCTTTTATATTTGGGATTGACAACCTCCTTGAGAGTTGGGTGCCCCAAATAAATAGTAGAAATATTGTGAAATTGCCAAATGCATGGAAATTTGGTGCTATAATGTAATCTCACATGAGAGTGCCCAAATCTCCTAAGAGTTCTCCCATTTATTTAAAAATATATATTTAATTTTGGGGTTCAGCAGATGTATCATAGACAGCAAGTTAACCCATTCTGTATGGTCACTGGAATGATAATTTCCTCCAATGATCATGTTGACAGTATGGCTTAAAATAAAAGATAATATTCAAGTAGGTAATAATTTAACAATGAATTACTACCATACTCAAGGGTATATAGGGTTATTGCTACTTGTACCCTACAATCCTTTGCACAGAGAAGGAAATGTCTGTGTGAAAATACACAAGGCCTAGAATGCAAGTGACCAATTGCTGTAGCACTGAAGAAACGAACATTCATGTATTGTAATAGTTGAAGTTCTATGCGATTGACGGATTTTCTGTAGAAGTCAGTTGCTGGGCTAAGATTAAACAGGACTAGGATTTATCTGTGAATTTTGTGGCAGGAAAATGAAGAATAAAATGGTGTAGCTATTAATAAAGCATGGATTCTATACATTTAGGGAGAAACCCCATACAATGGATTCCAATAAAATGTACTTTTTTAAAGCAGAGTGGACAAGTTGTACAGAGGCATTGTTCTCCTCAGTATTGCTTGGTTTACACATCAACTAAAATCTGCCCACACAGATTGCATATCCAGAACTCATGCCAGAATTTATGCCAATTTTCTTTCACTGTCATATGTATTGAGTGAGGCATGCAGTTATGACTCAGCCACACACAAATGTTATGTATTTAGGTAGATATAACTAAAAGATTGGCTAGGTACCTAGCAAAGACTTAAAAATCAGTGGCAGTTAAAAGAGGACCAAATACTTGACAGAATTTTCTCTGAAGTGCATTGATCAAGCTGCATTTCAGCATAATATTACAGTAGCTTTTCCACAATGCCAAAATATGGCAGTTTATAGGCAGGTGATCCAATAAATGTGTTCAGAAGGGTAGAGAATTAAATGAAGACCTGTTTTAACATTCTTGCTTCTCAGTTTGAGTAACAACATTTTTTGCCCTCTGCAATTCCCAAAGCAGATTAGAAATTATCTGAAGGTAAAGTGTTTATTAAACTGCACCTGGACATTATCCAAATGTATTTCAAATCCCAGAAATTGCAAAAAAAGGATTATGCATGGCCATGCTAGCTGGGAAATTGGGGAATGGAAGTCCATACAACTAGAAGGCAGTCAGATTGGAGAAAGTGGCTACATTTAGTTTAATGTCTAGTTTCCCACTGTGGCTATCAGGTGTTTTTAGCAAGATCACAAACTGGGCCTGGAGGCAACAGCTCTCTTCACCTGTTGCTCTCCAGCAACCACTACTTAGCATACTCTTAAGTCTGTATATTATTTTGGTGTTTACTTGTGTAATCCATATAGAAACCTTTTTTAAAATCTGTTGTTCACTACAGTGACTCAGAGTAAGGTGACTATTAGAGGACTGACTGCAGGAAACATATAATGGCAACTGGAATGCAGCAAAGATGCAAAAATAACCAAATCCAGAAATGAGGGAGGGAGAGCTTGCAAGGCATGGTTTCCAGGATTCTCTCCATTTCCTAATAATCACCCCACTCAGAGTCACATGACCAGGAATTAGGATGAGCTCAGAATCGAGGAACTGACAGCATCTTGAGCCGCTGCTCAACTGCCTTTTCCATTGGGGAACCTGGATTTTTTTTTTTCCTCCACAGCCCATTTTTGAACACAATCTTTTTTTGGGGTGGCTCTTCCCACCACTCCAAATGCAGGTTTTGGAGAGTTAATCCGCTGACAGAGAGACAGTCCTGAGCCCCTTCACATAATTGCTTTCCAACATTCTGTTGTATTGGAGAGAAAAGGAAGAACAGCCTTTCTTAACATTATCCCAAACCCACTCCCCAAATACAAATATACAGACTGAATCTTGAAATAATAACTGGAAAAGTGGCAAGGACATTAAGTATTAGCCCTAAAACCCACCCAAATGACATACAGCAGAAATCAGCCTATTGCCTGCTCCTGATTTCAGAAATTGCTGGGCTTTTAGTTGCAAGGTCACCCATTGCCCTACTTTGCTCTCTTCCTTTGCCATGACCGTGACTTACCTACTATACCTAAATATGTGTGTGTGTACGTGCGTGCGCACGCGTGTGTGCATGCCTCAAAGTCAGTAGCAACTCCCGGTGACTGCCTGGACAAGTCCCTGCAGTTTTCTTGACAAGTTTTTTCAGAAGTGGTTTGCCATTGCCTTCTTCCTAGGGCTGGGAGAGAATGACTGGCCCACGGTCACCCAGTTGGTTTTGTGCCTAAGGTGGGACTAGAACTCACGGTCTTCCAGTTTCTAACCACTACACCAAACTGGGTGCCTCTATAATAATACCCAATAATACCTAATTGTACTTATATAAAAAAATCTAGGGCACTAGTACTCTCCAATTCCCAATTTACCTGCCTTTTCACCAATCCTTGTTACATCAGTTCATAATGTCACAGATGTACAAGCATGAACAGTGGTACTACGCAATCCAAGGGGAAAATGAGACATAAATACAAAGCAATGAATAAAAATGAAAATCAAATGTCCTTTTTATTAAATCAACTACAGCTTGAGTTGAAAATATGCACACTATTTGCGAGACACAAATACATACAAGTTAATAAAACAAAATAGTAATCTTTAATTGCCACTGATAAAGACTGATTTTTATGTGTTGTCACATATTCATGTTTCCATTTCACGCTTACCACACCTTACCAGGTGGCAATTCCAGGCATGCTGTTGTAGCTTCTAAAATAACATTGCTTTTTTCTAGATGATATCTTGCTTTTCTTATGTCTTTAAAAAACTGGGGACATTAAGCTGGAGAAATGCTTTCTTTTTTATAATCTTAATACAGAATAGTAGATTTTAAAAATCAAATACACTTAAGTCCTGGTTAGTGTTAATAGTATTTTTTTTTAAATCTCCACAGTTGGAAGTGGGATAATATGGGGCTTCAGTGCTAATATTATGATTTCTGAGTCAGATACACAGTATTAATTTAGTGTAAACCACAGCATGCCTTGCTTTGAAGTTCTGAAAATGGGAAAAAAAAGTAATTTATTATAGATTGATTAATAGTCATCTTTTAAACTTACAAGTAATTTAATTACAAGGTACAAGACCAAAACAAGCTAAATAATGTTGTAGAAGGTCCAATCCCCTGCACATTCGCTCACAAATATTTGTACAGGTAGTCCTCGACTTACAACCATTTGTCTAACAACTGTTCAAAGTTACAATGGCACTGAAAAAAGTGACTTACGACCGGTCCTCACACCTATGACCGTTGCAGTGTCCCTGCAGTCACATGATCAAAATTCGGGCACTTGGCAACCAGCATGTATTTATGACAGTTGCAGCATCCTAGGGTTATGTGATTGCCGTTTGGACCTTCCCAAGGGGCTTCTGACAAACAATGTCAATGGGGGAAGCCAGATTCGCTTAACAACCATGTGATTTGCTTAACGACCGCAGCAAAAAAGGTCCTAAAATTGGACACGACTCACTTAATGACCGCATTCTGGTCCCAATTGTGGGCATAAGTCAAGGACTACCTGTACTCTATTCAAGAAGACTTAACACCAAGTTAACATGAGCAGGACTGTAGCCTTATTTGTAGCTACTGCTACTGGTGCTCCATCTGTTGAGATAGCAGAGTGGAGATGGTAACCTCCTGCTAAACAGCATCATGCAAGATAAATTATGAACTCATTAGAATGCCCCAGCTGCCAAGGTCCTGGGTACATTCCTTCCGCTGAAGTTCTTTCCCCATTTTATTCCAACTTCCACAGTTCTAGTCCAGACTCTTGCCCTAAAGAGCAGGAGAAGTCTGCTTATTTGGCAGATTAAAATGGTATCCAGCATTGTGCAAAATGTGCCCTAATCCCAGTTCATTCTGGATTCCAACTTTTGTCTAATTAAATTTGTGATTCTATGTTTACCTGCTAGGAAGAAAGCCCCAAAGAGCTAATTTGGAATAAATAGGCAGATGACAGGCCTGCATGGTGTGCATCTGAAATACAACAGAATATGACAATTTCTTGCTGTTGTAAATAAACCAACTCACCAGGTTCTCATATGCATTGTAAATTAGTATTGTATATTCATATGTATCATCGTGGTATCTAGTTCCTCATCTTTCAGATTTGCATGCATCTCCATTTGAGGGCTTGATCTTCCATATAAATACCACGGAACTAAAACCATTGTAAAGAGTTCTATTATTTGCCCCACCTAATTGACAAATAATATAAACCATAATATAAACCAGCACTTTCTTTCCACAAAAGAAATCAAGTTCATCTGGGAAATGTGAAGAGTTTTGTCTGGACTGCACTTTTAGCAAAGAGAATATATATTTTCTAAATTAATATTTACTTTTCTCCTAAATTCCTGAATTCAAATCACCTTTCTTTCATATACTGTGCTACAGTTTGTCAGTGCATTCAAAAACAAATACGCTTACGTCTATATATGTATTTTAGAGAGAGAGAGACATATAAAATACATATGTTTAGGGAAAGTTGTATACAAAAATAAATGTGAATTATAGAACAGTTTTAAGAAGAAACAAGGGATATAAAAATTGGATGGATGGTTAATAAGCTGTTATTAGGGATTTTATTAATGGTCTTTGAATTTACAAAGCATTAAGAAACAGGAATTTTTTTGGAATTGTACATTGTAAGAGATCAATCATAGAAGACCAATGTTATTTCAGAGGAGAGGTCTGTCTGATCTTATTGTTCTTCTCACTACAGAATCTCTCGTAAAGTTCCCATCTTTGCCAAAACACAGTTTATTATCCATCCATGATAGTGCAACATCTTCAGTACTAAAGTTGCTGATTTAAAATATGGCAACATTTTAGATCTTTGTCAATCTGGGCAGTAATTGTTATCTGCCTAGGTTGACAAATGTGTACAAGACCATTGTGCCATGGTTTGTTTTTAATAATAATTTGTTAAATAAGTAATGATGGCTGTGTTCACATATAACACCAAAGCATAAACTATGGTTTATAAACCAAAATGACTGGCTCCATATACCACATTAAGCCACAATATTATTACTTTATGCATCATGCATAAACCCAGCCCTAGGGCATCACTATGCTATCTGAGCAGAAATAGTTTATTGAATGCAAGTCTGTATTGCAAAGGCACATGTGATGAAGTCATGTGGATTTTCTAACTGGAGCCATAGCCAGCTTTATTGGGGGGAGGGGGAATAGTCTTTTGCTTGTGGCCAAGTCATGCTACAGGTTCATCAAGCACATAGTTTAATTCAGGCCAAAAATGATGCCATCTCAGATTACTGAAAAACAAACCCACTTTATGCTGGTGTGCATTACTCCCAAATGAAAAAGCACGTTACCTGGGAAAGATGCTTAATTGCTTTTCAGTGTTCTATATGTGTTTTATTATGAAAGTTTTCATACTAGGAGAAGATGAAGCAGATAGCAGAAGGCATTACGTCTTATTCATAGGAGACCTACTGAGTTGCAAAGGAATCATCCTATATATGTATGTGTGTGTCTGTATGTATGTATATGAAATGCTTCTAGAAATTATTGAGATAATTTTTGCTCCTCTAAATGAGTTATCAGTGACAACCTAACACGTCTGGCAACTGAGCTAGACATAATATTTTCTTCTACCCAATGTTTTTTAAAAAACCCAACAACCATGAGACAATGGCTGAGAAAGTATAATATTTCAGTGCACACTTGCTTGTTTTGCAAATTCCTACTTTTCTTTTACTATGAACGCCAGGGGGAACAGGAGGAAACCATTTCTAGCTACTCCTGCTAGTCAGTATCCAAGAGACAGTGAATGAGAACTCTGTACTCATTCACAGGCTGATGAGCATGAAGGGCACTGAATGGTTTTGCCTTTAAAGGGCCCTAGTTCCAACCCATCCAAGGGGAAATTGTGCAAACAGAAAACTAAGCTTCAGTGGCAAACATGATAGAACTGGTTATATGAAATCTCCATGAAATACCTTGGAGGAAAGACAGGAGTCATCAGAAGAAAAAAACAGGTTGTCAACAATGAGCAAGTAAATACCTAATCAGGTGGCTGCTTAGAAACAAAGTTTTCTGCTGTTATTTAAATTATGCCTGAAAAAGAGAAACTCAGTAAAATGATTTGGATGATCTGTATCTGTTTAATGTGTTCTGCATTTGAAGCTAAGGATGTCAGCAACTGAAAGAGAGAGTGAGCTGGAGAGATTTCTCTGCACTCTGGAGCAAACACCAACATTTTATTTTTTTTAAAACAGAATTTATCTTCTCTGTGAGTGCAGCACAAACTGTTCACTCCATTACAAATGACACTTATACACCCAAGAATTCATTTGGATCTCTGAAAGGTTAAAGTTCACACATCTTAACAGAAATGAACAACAAAACTCAATTAACCAAATGGCCAAACTCTTACATTCACCGTCGTTTTCTAAGGAAATGGCTCATTTCTTTATATTACAAATTGAATATTTGTAGCCTGCATGTAATTTTTCACTCTTCTCCTTCTGGCCAACAATACTTATTTTCTTTTTCCTTTTAAAATGGCTTTGTGATCTTATGAAAGAGTCTCTCCCTCTTTGTGGAGTCTACCCAAAAGCAATAATCTTATTTCAACTCCTAATAATAGTGTGAATATGCATAATGATTAAGTTCCCACTGTCATCATGGCTAAAAGCCCTTTGCATGTTATTTGTACAATATGTTTCCCAAGTGCCTCCAGGCGCAAATGCCAAGAGGAAATCCATTCCTGTTTGCTCAGCAACAGGCAGATGTGGAAACTTCCGTATCAGACATTGTCTCTGGTCTCTGAAGAGATAATCGGAAACATGTCACTCCCTTGTGAGGCGTTGCTTAACTGAGACTTGGTTTTCATTAAGAACTGTGCCCTCCTGTACATAATTCTCTCTTGCTCTTGCTTTAGCTCAAGGTATGAACGGGAGAATGTGTGGAAGATGGAAGTGACAGGAAAGGCCATGAGAAGGATGCCACTCAAGATGCTGCTCAGAGCCACCACCTGGCCTGGTATGCTTCTGGGTACCATGTCACCGTAGCCCACTGTTGTCATAGTGATGACTGCCCACCAATAGCAAGCAGGGATACTGGTGAACTCTTGAGAGTCTGCCATCTCATTTTCAATCACATACAGGAGGGGCGCAAAAAGTGCAATGGCTACGCAAAGGAACAGCAGCAACAGCCCAAATTCACGTGTGCACCTACGAGCAGTGAGTCCCAGTGTCTGCAGACCTAGCGAATGCCTGGCGAGCCGCATGACGTAGAGAATCCTCAAGGCACGGAGTATACGGAGCACCAGGCCTACCTTGTCCAGGTAGATGTTGCCAGAGCTTGGCTTTTTGTTACTGCTCACTGAAGCACTGTCTAGTAGTAAAGTGATATAATAGGGCAGGATGGCAACTATATCAATTAATGTCAGGGGGTGCCGCAGAAATACAAATTTGCTTGGTGCCTGGATGAACCTCAAGAGGAACTCCAAGGAAAACCATCCAACACAGACCGATTCCACAATGAAAATGTTGTAGCACATCTGAGAGCACTCGCCCTGGAGTAGGAGAGAAAGTTACAGCATATGAACATCAAGTCAGCTGGCAAATGTCACAGAAACAGTTCACAAAAAACAGAAAAATTATCCTGCTACTGCAAACCAAGGCATACTTAGGTCAGTGGCGTGACAATTAGTTCTCACACAGTCAGTGAAAAGCAACATGATAGCAAACTTGACTGTTGCAAAAACAAAGGACAGATGACAACCGTCCCTTCCCTCCCTCCAGCAAAACAGGGGACCAGGCAGCCCATAATATAGGGCAGGAATTACAAAAAGAGGTGTAAAAGGGTTTGAATATGGTTTCTATAGAGAGAGACTGCTCTTAAAACACGGCAGTTGCTAGAATCCTTTGGTTGAGGCTTCTTAACTTTTCTTCAATAAACATTACATATCAGTGAGCATGTCTGACAGATTTCATTCCTGTCTGTGTAATGAGACCTGGCAAGTAGTTCATTTTAACATAGTTACCAGAAAGAAAGATAAACCTGAATTTAAGATAATCTCCCTGCCAAAAGGCAGTTTAGAATAAAACAAAAATAAAACAAAAATAAAAACAAACTACCCCACCTCATTTACTTCCTTTAATGTATTCTCAACAAATGAATCTACAATGATTCTCCCATTTTAAAATAACATTGGGTGGAGGTGGAGAAACTAATCCGGTAATGCTGTACGGTATCTTTCCTGCAGGGTTTTTTCACATATGGAGAAGCCTAGCAGTCATGACGGACCCCCACATTCCTCTCTGAGTTTATCCAATTCAAACAAGTAGAATTGTTTGGGGTTTTTCTCCATTTACATTTTCCTGGTTCCCCCTAGAATGACTGTTTTTATCACTCAGAAAGTAGTTACAATCTAAGATCTTACTCTTTTCATGGACCACTTGAGCTATATCCTTTCAATAAAATTAACTACGGATTGCCTTATTCCTTACTGTAACTCAGCCACTCTATGTGTAATTAAAATAATTGTATATTTTCCCCTGCATATCCTTATCTCCATTCCCCCACTTCCAATTCCCATCTATGTTAGACTGAAAATTCCCTTGGAGACCTGTCATATTTGTTCCTTGTATAGTGCATAAACAACTGGGTCTAGCATCGACATCCAGCACCACAATCAGCAAAATCCATATTACATGCTGAATTGCAATGCAGTAGAAAGAAAGCATAATGTTTCTGTTACATAAATTACATTTCTATGGTACCATTCCTCTAAGAAGCTTAAGGCTGCATTGATGAGGTCATCCTTCATTTTACTTTCCCAGTAACTTTGTGACAGGTGAGGCTGAGAGAAAGTGACCAGCCCAAAGTCGCAATCCAACACTCTTTGGTTTTTCCAAAGCCTCTGTAATGCTAAAATATGTATTAATACTGATTATAAATCCCTTGAAGGATGCATGTTGGCTTAACTTTGGCCCTGGTCTTGTATTAAATGCTCCAAGACACCCCAGCCCTTCAACTGAAGATTTCCAGCATGCAACTGAACAGTGGTTAAGTATCTCTACTAGCAACCTACCTGAACCAAGGTGAGAGATGTGAAGTGAAAGTGGAAACCAAAACTCAATTCAAAACAAGTACGTGAATCTTTTGAACAGGGAAGTGGGGGAGGAAAGAAGAGTTGCACATACTTCTTTGTAGATCTGTCAACATGCAACTAAGAGATACAGCTATCCATTTTGCTGCTGTGAGCTCTTGCATCCCAGTTATTTGGCTGCTTGTGGGGTAAGATGGGAGAGGAAAATGAGGTGCTTCCAAGTGCACTGTTTTGGGGGAAAGAGGCAGCTGCAGGGGCACCTTTATCTCATCAGCCACAGAGCAGCAGTAGAGACTACTTATGCAAATTATGCAAGGAATATTACATGAGCCTAAAACAGTTTTTTTCCATTTAATACTAAAACTCAAGTACTTGCACAGAAAGTTCCCACAACCTTTCTTAATTTGACAACCTCCAGGATGCTTGAATCAGTGGAAACAAGAAGACATTCTGTTTGAGAATCCAGAAGACCTTCAAAAATGCCTGCGTGCCCTTCATATGCTTGTGCTGTTCTCTGCATCCCCTTATGCCAACACCATGGGGATTGCATGAGGCATGCTTCGCCAAAGAAAATGTGGCAAAGATCTGCATCTACAAGTCACTGGCTTCTCACTGACACCACTGGCTTCTTGGGATTTTTTCCTCCCCCCATAGCCAAGATCACTAGTCCCAGCTTTCTTCCCAGTTGCTGCGTGGGACAGCTTTTGCCATTCCATGGTGCACAGTGGCCAGTTGTATCTCTCTTCCCCCTCCCCCTCCCCCTCCCCAAAAATCACAGTGAGGGAAGAATGTGAGCCTTTCTACTGGTCAGCTGGAGAGACACCTGGAGAACTCAGTGGGAGCACAGAGCATACCAATAGGTCACTCACACAAAAAGCTGATCAAAAGGGTGAGCAACAATTTTATTCTCCTCAAGGAGAAGCTGAACAAGCACTCTGAAGAGGCTTGCTATCAGGTAACTCCCCCCCCCCAAAAAAGTCAACTTACTCGTTCCTCTTCTTCTCGTAACCCAGGCATGGTGCTGATAGACAGATTAACTGCTGTGACAGTCACAAAGAGGACTGATAAACAGGCAAACACTTTCCCAGGGATCCCTGACTGAGGCTTCTCCACCATGTCCTGTAACTTTTTCATGCACAGGCTGGCTTTTGCCTCTGCTGCTGCTTCAGACGGGTTTTCAGAGTCAACAAACTCATCCTCTGCTTCATTCATTTCTGCAAATTCCTCCATCTTCTGGAGGTATCTTCTCTTGCAGCACCACTCTAGGCTGTCCTCCTCAATGCCCCAGTAAAGCAGCTCTTCTTGGAAGGAAAGGGCACACATCTCCCTCAAGAGCCGTAGCTTCCCTGCCCGCAGAAAAGTCAAGATGGTCCTAAATGCTCCTGGGTTGCGATCAAAGAAGAACTCATTGCAAGTCACATCATAATCATCACAAATGTTGAGGATGTCGTCAAAATTGTTGCAAAATTTTAGCTGTCCCAAGCGAGTCATGGGGAATTCATCAAGAGTGGTCCAGGGAAGCAGGTATTTAAAGCCACCGACGTTAATGATGATATGGTGCTTCCGCTCTTCTGGGTGAACATTTTCATAGAGTTCTTTGCCGGGGTGAAGACGTTTGGCTCTTTGGTAGAAGACCCCTTTCAGAGTTTCTCTTTCAGCAAAGAAAGGGTGGTTGAAGGAGGCATCTGAAGCACAGCTTAGGGCACTGTAGTCATAGTCTGAATTTTCTCCCGGGAGAAGAGTCATCTTGATCACCAGCTTACTTCACATCACTTTAGGGCTCCAGATACAAATTTCTACAATGGAGGGGGGGGGAAAAACAGATTATCAGCTCATGTGTTTACCCTATACAATGCTGGGTATTGGGGGAGGTGGGGAGGAAACAGTGTGCACATACCAGGATTTGCATGATGGCACAAGAACCAAGAAATAAAAATTAAACAATGGAAAGTGGCCAAATATTGGGAAATTTCCACATCCTCCCTCCAGCTCTTGCAAAATGTTATTACTGTTGCTTACAAAAATCTTGAAAGACTTCATGTAAAAATCTAGAAACCTCATGAGATTCCACCCTTTTAAATTTTTTATTTGGGGTTCATGGATACTTTTGGGGAATATTATGGGGACTTTGGCACCACCACTGCAATCTTGCAGATCGTGGATGTACACATAGTATGAAGTGGAAAGAATTTGTGAGGGTACGAAGGTAAAATTACATAAAGGATTTGATATGAGAATGGATCTAAGGAAAAAGATGCCAGAAAAGTAGCAAATACATGCAGTAGTCAAATCTACATTCCTGGTGGAATATCTCTTATTAGAAGATATAATCTGGGGCTGTACATGCAGCACCAGCTAGAACAGCAGCTATGACACCAATAAATCTCATTTCTAGATTTAGAGCCCATGAGTGATCATATCATGAATGATGCCACTAATGCAGGCTGATGATATTACTCATTAATTCTTGCTAGGTTCTACTAGGGACCGTCTGGGTGGGAAGTCTCTTTACAGAACCCTTTCCCTCAATCATGCAGTCCCTTATGGTGAGATTTACTGTGCACTATACAATAATCAAAGTACTGTGTTATTTTCCATTCCACAAATTTCTGGGTGTGGAAACTGATTCGATGGTGGGCAAGCAGGGCAGAGTGCTATTAGTCCTAAAACAATAAATTGATCATGGTTCTGCATCAAGGTTGCCCAAATTCTGTGATCAATATACATCCTCCCATTTAAGTAAGTCTACATAATTGGAATTTTTTAAACAATGTTTTGCAAATCTTATTACGATGTGTAATTTGTTCTGCCTGTCATGAGGAAGGAGAGGAATATTGACTGAACCCTAAAAATCTCATTTAGTAATTCTTCTGACATCTTACCAAATGTTGCTTCCATAATTTAAAACACATCTCTGCCAGACTAGTTATTTTTTAAGTAATCAAAGATTATTAAAAAGATAAATTGTGTAGTAATTGCCACATTCCGTAGCTCTTCTATACAAATACAGAAATACAGGGCTATGAACATTAATTGGGAAATATAAAACATGGGACATGTTATTTGAAAGATATTTATTAATTTTTCAGATTTGCAGATTAGCCTTGGCCCTATCATCTCTTCAGGCTGGTGGCTATGCAAAACAGCAATTTTTCATGATGATCCATTTTGTTGGTAATCTCTTATGAAAGAAACATATGATTCTTATCTTCACTAGCTTCTAAATAAGCATTAGAAGTATTTTCTTCTCAAAAAAGTGAAACTTTTTCGCTTTTTTGTTAAAGCACTTTCTACGTTTTTTTTTCCTTTTCAGGGAGGGAGGGAGGGAGGGAGGGAGGGAAGGAAGGAAGGAAGGAAGGATCTTTTTCTCAAACTGTACTTTACTAGGAGTGTTTCTTGGATTTGAAACACCTTTTTTCTGTTTTCCACTGGACTGCTTTCTATGCAGCAAAATTGTATTCTTTAAAGTATATTTATAAGGCAGTGTGATCTATAACAGATAACAGGACCAAGCTGACCTGGGCTGATCCCCCAAAGTTAAGCAGGGTCAGTCCAAGTTGGAGCTGCAAGCTAACCTTGGAAGTTGAAAAAAAAAAAACATGCTGGAAGAAAGCAATGGCAAAAGCATTTCAGAACAACTATCAGTAAAACTGCATGGCTTCTGAACCCTAGGGCTGCACAAAGCTTTAAAAGGGTGATTCTCTTCAACAAAGATGTAATGGTATGTGGGAATGACCTGAGGAGACAAGAGGGAGAGCTGCAGACTGGACAACCGGTGTACAAAAGATATCTCAGACCACAGAAGGAGGGGTGGCGTAGGAAACATTTCAGAAGGGACCCTCCCTAGTTTTCCAGAGAGTCAAAGGAAAGGAGGGGAGAAATACTTTCAGTCTTGCAAGATTCTGTTAATGTAACCTCACAATAAAGATAGAGCAAGGACTCCCAGTTGTGCTTCATGCAGAGCTAACAAAAACTGTGAGTGAATCACTTCAGCAGAGCAGATTCATGAATCAAAAAGGGGATTTGCTTTGAAGCAATAAATTCTGGGAGCTCAGAAATGTTTTAGAGATTGCTGCTGCTTTGGAGATTCTTGCAGAGAATATACAGTGATGTAACTTCGGTCCTTTATATGGAGAACACTGGGGAGGGATTGAGGGATATGATGGGCTCTGTGATATTGACAGGAGCAGTCATCCCAAGAGTTTTATCATCTGTTCAAACCCTCTGCTTGTTAGAGCTCTTTGAAGGTAACAAAAAAGGCACTGGCTAGAAACCAGGATACCATGAGTTCTAGTCCTGCCTTAGGCATGAAGCCCGCAAGGTACTGGCAAGTCACTCCCGAAAAATGTTTCCAAGAAAACTACAGGGACTCATCCCTATAGGTACTAGAAGTCAGGACTGACTTGATGAACAACAAAGCTAACGTTACTTTTTCAACTCTTAATTATTTAATGTGGCCAGCCATAAACCTTAATTCTGCTTTTTATGTGCTCATACAATGTTATATTTCCATGCTGATCCTCTCAACACATGGAAGCTCAGTTCAGTCTCAGGCCTCTGGGGTGGACAATAAGTGAATGGATGTACTTACAGGGAATGGTCCAAATTTTTACTGCTCCAAAGAAAGGGATTGGATGGCAAGGCTATCAATGCTGCTTTCTCTGTGGCTTGTCTATAGCACTGCAGCTCATTCGGTGATCCTGCTTCTGCTACCCTCCTGATTTTGAATATTGCCAGCAAGTCCACAATCCAACACAACCAATTCCTACCTGAGAAGTCTTTTTTTGGAAAAGACCCTGATGCTGGGAAAGATTGAAGGCAAAAGGAGAAGAGGACGGCAGAGGATGAGATGGTTAGATAGCATCACTGAAGCAATGAGCATGAAAC